CCTCCCAGCTTGGCGGTGGCATGAAGATGGGGGTGGGAGTGTGTAGTGGGGGAAGCACCTGCCCGGACCCCCACCTGCCAGCTAGCTGGGCTCCCCAAGGCTGTGTGCTGCCCACCTGGTGTTCCCCAGCACCCCCAGCCCTGCTCAGTGCACCCCTCCGGTGCCTGCTTCCCCTGATGTCTGCGATTTAGACCAGCCCAGCTGTATCCACGGCAACAGAAGCAGGAGTGTCACTGGCCGCCAGATCACGGAGGGTCCCACAATGTGGCCTGGGATGTGATTTATCCTGGGTGAGACAGCTTGAGCTCCCTCCCTGGATTCCAAGACAGCCCTGCTGAGAGGAGCCCAGGTAAGTAGTCAGCATCCCTCCACCAAGGATGGGGGCTGGGACTTCTCTTCTGTCTCCCCACACAGATTTCAGAGTCTCCATCACTGCATTCTCTTTCTCTCTCTCTCTCTCTCTCTCTCTCTCTCTCTCTCTCTGACTGTTAGTCTCTCTCTCTCTTTCTGTTCCATCACAAGGGCTACTTGGACACCCAAGCTTGGAGAGTCCTCTAGCCATCCCCATCTTTCCCAATCCCAAATGTCCCATGAGAAAGGGTACCACCACCTGTTTCCCCAGCACGGGGTCTGTTATCATCATGGTCGCCTTTGGACAAGAGGCTGTGCTAACATTGCCTTGTGTGCTAGCTGTGGAATGCATGCCTGGGAGCCGGTGGTGCTCTCCTCACAATGCCTGCACCCTAAGCAGGCTCAGCCTCCTGCAGCTGCCTCCTCTCCCTCTCCCTCCTCTTCCACTCTCCTCCAGGTTCCTTGGCCTGCATGCATATTGTCTGCCTGTCTGTGTGAGCAGGCAAGTGGGTAGACATGATAGAGAAGCTGCTCCCAGCCCAGACCACCCCCCACTCCTTCTTTCCTTCATCTCTCCCTCCCTCCCTCCATTGCTTCCTTCCCTTCTTCCCCTGTTTTTCCCCACAGGTAGTAGACTTTTGCTCACTCACCACGGAAGATATTGCTACGATTCCAAGATAGGGGGAGGAAGCCACACTGTAGGGCTAAAAGGAAGGTGAGGTGGGGGCGGGGAGCATTTCCAGGCCCTAGGCTGTCTAATGGTTCTGTGGGGACAAGGACCACACCACACATCAACCTACAGGAGCCAGACACAACATGGTTGTCCCCACAGTGTGGACCCCAACCTCCATCACAAGGCTGTCTGTCTTTGTTTCAGACATGCATGCTGTGTCTGGGACCCCAAGATCTTATAGCCTTGTGCATAGTGGCCAGTGTTCTCTATGTCTGGAGGGGCAAGAAAGCCTGGTACATGGAGAGCATGGATTCTCCAGGGGCACTTCCCCTAACTGCAACTTTAGTGAAAGCGGGCCCCTTACTAAACCTCAGTTTTCCCATCTGACAAAGAGACTGGTGACCCTTCCATCATGGGTGTGTGTAGTGACTAAATGAGTTGGTGCATGGAAAGAAAAGATGTGTATAGAAGTGGCTCTGAAGCAGTGTCAGCAAAGCTCATAGTCAATACTGTTGCTGATTATTCATGATTAATATTGTTATTGATTATTCAGGGGAGACGCTGACCCCTCTTCTCCAGGGTCTTGGTAGAGATCTGGACAGGGCAGCAGGTAGGCATATGGGGAGTAGTAGAGTGGAGGCAGATCAGCTCTGTGTTATAGCTCCTCATTTGTAGGGAATGATAAGTGGTGGCTATGAGCAAAGCCTCCTGTCCCCACCCCGCTCCAGGCTCCTTTTCTTGCACTTGCCCAGTCCCCTGTCTGTGCAGAAACACACACACACACACACACACACACACACAGAGGCTTGAGCTACCCCCTCCCCCCTATGATCTAGCAGAGGCCTGGCTTGCAGCCTGCAGCATTCCTGGCCCTGGTGATGTATGCGTCTCCCTGTTGAGGGGAGACTTGGCAAGAGTTTGGCCTGTGGTCAGTGGTTGGCATGGCCTATTGACAAGGCTGAAGCTTCTGAGATCTCAGGACTTTGGGTAGACCTGGGGTGTGGCCCATGCAGCAGTCAGACCTGTGGAGGACGGGTCCCAGAGAGTTGCTAACCTAGAACCTGGGCTGGGGAAACAGTGGGGTCTGCTGGCTGGTTTCTGGGTGTGGACATGTGGTGGAACACTGGGTGAGGGGTTGGTGGCTGGAGAAGGGTCCTCAAGGCTGGGGAGGAGGAGGATGAGAAAGACTGAGGCCCAGAAAATGCCCTATGTGGGGGCAGGGAAGGGTGGGGCTTTGAGGTCTAGAGTAGACTTTTCTGAAGAAGCATTTGGTGCAAAAGGGAAAGGACCCAGCTTGCGGTCCGGAGGCATCTGGCCCTCAGTGTGGGTGTGCATGTGCAACTGAAAATGTGGCTGTGTGTGTAGTCTGGTTGTGTTTGTGTGTCTGTTCATGAGCACTGTGGATGTGTATGAGTCTGTGTCTGTGAGCAGGCCACGTGAAGGTGTGTGCAAGTGTGTGCATGTCTGGGTAGGCTTGTGTGTGTGTATAGGGGAGTGGGAATGACTTTGCATGTCTCTCTGGGTAAGCAAATGGGCATGTGTGATTCTGAGTCTGGATGAGGGTGTGTTGCTCTGAGTAAGTAAGCCTGTTGAATGTCTGGTTGTGTGTGTGGTATCAATTTGTCTTTGAGTGTATGTGTGTGAGTGTGAGGGTTTCAGAATGTCTGGGACTACATGTCCAAATACGTGAATGCCTAGTTGTATCTGATCGTGTATATCTGTATGTGCCCATGTGTGCATATGTGTGTAGGTGCATCTAAATGGTATGTTTGTGAGTGTAAGGCATGTTTATATGTCCATGAATGTATGACAGGGTATATATGTGTGCACATGCTTCTATATGGGTGTGTCTGCCATGTATATGTATGAGTAGGTCTCATATGTAAGTATGTGAATGTCCATGTGGATTCTCCAGTATTTTTAATTGTGTATATGTCTGTGTGCATGCTTGAGTACATTTTGTTTGTAGACAGCCCTCTGGGTTTACATCTGATTGGGGAAATGTTAGTGTAGATGGCCACATTAGTATAAGGAGAACTAATTGTGTGGGTAAGGGTGAGTGTGTGAAAACATGTTTTGTGCATGGAAATATATTTTGTGTGTGCCCATTTGATTATGTATATGGATGGGTAGGGCTGGGGAAGGTGTACACCTGTATGTATCTGCACAAAAGGCTGTGTGCAAAGTGAATAGATGCATTTGTGTATATGTCTCATTGTTTGTGGGTATGCTGTTATGTGTGAGTGCATGTCTGATTGTGGTATGCTTGAATAACTACATTTCATAATACTTGAGTGCACATGTCTCATGTTTTGTTTGAATTTCTAAGTGTGAGTATGGATATGTGACTGAATGTATATATGTGTCTATGTTAGTATGTGTTAACATCTGGCCATGTGTGCATTTGAGTGAATATTTTGTGCATTAAATATTTCCTGTGTCCAAGCACATTTCTTGTGCCCATGCGCATCTAAGTGTGTGTGTGAATATGCCTGTGTGTGTACCTAGCTGAATGTACAGATATGTGAATGTACCAGTTTTCACAGTTCTAATTATTTGCATATGTGTGTTGTGCTTATATACCATCGTTTGCTCTGGAACATATGTTGTGGAACAGTGTAAATGAATGTGTGTCCATGCCACTATTGGCCTATAAGTGTGTATGTGTGTGTATGAGGATGACTTTGCATGTATGTGTCATGATGAGTGTTACCAATTCTTCTTTTGCAGATGTACAAGTATGTGAGAATATGTGATTTTTCTTCCCTGTGTGCATGTGTGCAGACATACCTTTGTGTCCAAGTCTATCTGGGAATGTAAGTGTAAATGAATCTTTTGTTTACATACTTCTCATATGCATGCATGAACATGTGGGAACATGCATGATGTGCACATCTGTGATTTGTGTGTTTTTTAAAGTATATTTATGCCTGATTGTGTACGGAGAGAAATGAATGCTGTACAAATCTTTGTGCATGTGAATATGCTCACAGGTGTACATGCTCAGTTGTGTGTGTAAGTCTATGTGTGTTAGAATGTCTGTATATGAATATATCGTCTCATTGACAAGCATGTACACACCTGAGTGTTTATATGTGTGAGTACACCCATGTGTGAATGTGTGTGAATATACTTATCTATATAAATAATTTTCACAGAAAGCACCCAAATTATGCCATCCAGGCAGAAATCTAGATGTGAATATGTATGTGTAAGTGAAAGTATATTTGGGGAAAGTAGGGAGGCAGAGGGAGAGAGAAAGTATTTGCATTGTATGTATGTAAGAGAGAGCCTTGGTGTTTCCTGTTAGGGTGTATATGTGAGATATTTGGGTGTACAGGTATACTCCGCTTTCCAAACGTTCTCATTAAGGCATTTCCCTTTCATGAAAGACCTACTTTAGTAAGGTAATGGCTTTTTTTCATAAAAGCAAAGTGGCATAACACAAACTTTCAGAAAGAGGGAGATACTTCTGACTTTACACCATTTCGACTTACAAAAGGTTTCATAGGAATGCTGTAGTTTTGGATAGAGGGGAAACCTTTATTTGGGAAGGATGAATGTGAGTGTGGATGTATGTAAATGGTGTGTTTGTAAGGTACTCTGAGAGTATCAGCCTATTTGGGTGGAAGATCATATGAGTAAGAGCTTGGGTGTGGCTGGATGGGAACATGTGTGAGGATGTGTATATTTGTGGGGTATGTGAGGATGGATGTATCTGGATGATGCAAGAGAGAGTGGGAGTATCATATATATATATGTTTGATAATGTAGATATATCTGTGTTGTATGTGTAAGAGGATGCGGGTGTTTGGGGGTAAAGTGTGTGTATGAGAGTATGGGTGTAATGGGATGGGGGCATTCAAGTGAGAGCATACCTAGATGATGTGTAGGTGGGTGAGAGCACAAGTGTATCTAGGCAATGAAAGTGTATGATGGAGTATATCTAGAGGGTGTATGTGTGTCAGAGAGAGAATTTGGGCACATCTTGGTGAGGATGGGGGCGTATGTGAATGTACATATAATTGGAGGGTACTATGGATGGTGTGTAGGGGTGTATTGAGAGAGAATGGGTGTATCTGCATTGTGTGTATGAACTGTGAGTATTCTAGATGATGGTGATTAAGAGGAGGAGGAAGATCTGGATTGTGTGTATGTGTAAGAGAGAGTAGGTGTTTCTGAGTGTGGTGGGGGTCTGAGAGCACAGATGTGTTTCGTAGGAGGAGTGTGTGAGTGTATCTGGATGGGGTGTGTTTGGGTTTAATTGGGTTGGAGTGAGTGTGGGTGTATTAGGGTGTGAGTGGGTGTATCTGGATGATGAGTAA